CTGAGTTTTTTCCCTAGCAGGCCGAAATATCTCCATCATGTCACCAGGAACAACACTCGTGCATCTCGTAATTAGTGCTGCAATAAACAAACTGATGTGTTTTTTCTCACCTGCATGGTTTTCCCGACGCTTCAGCTACTTTCGTTATTTCTAACCAATGAAAATTGTCCTTACTTTTCTGTTGCGTCATGCAATTTTATTGCACGCATCACTGAATTGTAGAACACACATCACAAGATTTCGAATATACATCACAAGATTATCGAACATGCATCACAAGATTTCGAATATACATCACAAGATTATCAAACATACATCACAAGATTTCGAATATACATCACAAGATTTCGAACATACATCACAAGATTATAGAATATACATCACAAGATTTCGAATATACATCACAAGATATTGAATATACATCACAAGATTTTGAACATACATCACAAGATATTGAATATACATCACAAGATTATAGAATATACATCACAAGATTTCGAATATACATCACAAGATATAGAATATACATCACAAGATTTCGAATATACATCACAAGATTTCGAACATACATCACAAGATTATAGAATATACATCACAAGATTTCGAATATACATCACAAGATATCGAACATACATCACAAGATTTCGAATATACATCACAAGATTATCAAACATACATCACAAGATTTCGAATATACATCACAAGATTTCGAACATACATCACAAGATTATAGAATATACATCACAAGTTTAAGAATATACATCACAAGATATTGAATATACATCACAAGATTTTGAACATACATCACAAGATTTTGAATATACATCACAAGATTTCGAACATACATCACAAGATTTTGAATATACATCACAAGATTTTGAATATACATCACAAGATTTCGAACATACATCACAAGATTTTGAATATACATCACAAGATTTTGAATATACATCACAAGATTTTGAATATACATCACAAGATTTCGAACATACATCACAAGATTTCGAATATACATCACAAGATTTTGAATATACATCACAAGATTTCGAACATACATCACAAGATTTTGAATATACATCACAAGATTTTGAATATACATCACAAGATTTCGAACATACATCACAAGATTTTGAATATACATCACAAGATTATCGAATATTGCAACGTTTGACATGCCTATAGTACCATTAGTCTTTTACACATACATGCATATTTGATGTATTCCTTTTAGACAGGATTATTGTTGAAATCATTTATGTCAACTGCTAATTGTATAATTGTTTTGCTATTCATTGGCTTATCTTTTCCTTATTATTGTAACAATTTCATACTTGTCTGTTATGGGCTCTAAATTAGAAATAAAATGTTCTGTTCTGTTCTATGATATAGTCTTATAAGTATAGGATAAGATATAAGGGTCCGATCAAACACTCAGAAAATTTTAACTATAGTGACACCCCTTAATACATCCGTGAATAGCAAGAGACGAATAAGTAATATTTTCGTCGTAAGGAATATTGAGATACATGACTATCAAAACTCAAGCTCGAAGTTCAATTGAAACAATGCTAATTTTGTAAGATCTTGTGGGAAGCATCCCCTGTCGATCGCTCACATCCGCCGTCTGCTTCTTGTCTTCATTGGGTAACGGGAAAAGTCCGTAGATATTAGAGTTTTAATAATTAAGACTACAGTCATGGACAGTCATGGACTATCCAAATAAGTATGAAAACGTCGATTGCATTAGCCGACAAGGTCATTGAATTACAAACCATACAACTTAAAAATTGTATTGACCGTAAAACGTATTAAATAATAAATCTAAACGGGACTGATGCTATCCTTGAATCTATCAATTCATTTGTCAATACATGAAACTTGAAAGTATGATATTAGTCAATTTATGTACTCTGCATTCATGAATTAACAAACTAGTATGTACCTTAGGAATTCATATGACGAAATATGTATATATATGTAAATTACTTGAATCTGATTCGTCGAGAAACATTTGTTAAAAAACAATATTATACTTTCATGTAAATTACTTGAATCTGATTGGTTGAGAAACATTTATTTTAAAAAACACTATTACCCGCTGAATAATGAAGCCACGCCCTCCTGCGTAGCAACAGTCAACATTGCTTGACGACGGGTGATATTCCAAAAAATAGCGACTGCGCAGAATTTATGCGCACACGGTTCACTGTTATATGTATTTGTATAAAACATTCAGTATAACATAATGAATATTGCATGTAGTTAAGTGTGACATTAAAATTTTCACCCCTCCAAAATCATTGTCATTTACTGTTAGCACTTTCTGGCTAATGGCTTTAACCGACGTTTTGTCAACGGCTAATGGTCTGCGACGCAAAAACTGAAGGGGTGGAGGTGAAGGGGGTATTCAAAGATTGCCTAAAATCTACATTTAAATACGCTTTACATTTTAGAACTCTGAAATATGTGAGTCAATATATTTTTAAAGCAAAAGCAATTATTCCAATTTGATTGTTTTTAATGTGTATTTGTAGATTCATAGCATAGTGATCGACCCAAGTCTGAAAGACGCGGGAGAACGTGATTTTGGGAGAAAGGGGGAGGGGGGTAAATGAAATTCGTTACGAGTGAGTACCACAAAAATATTATGGAAACATGATTGGAATTTTACTGCTTTCCGATATTTTTTTATGCATTTGAGTCACAGATTAGACACGGATCTACATATGTACCATTTCCGAGACCACTCTAAAATCTATATACAGTCACAAACAATTGATAGAATATACATGATATACATTTAAGTTCTGTAGCGTGTTTGGTGAGCAATTCGCTAGGTCTACACGTATTCCCGAGTATCGGTGAATACAAGTTTCATATGCATTTCTTGTCCTTAAAACCGTAAATGCTGAAAATCCATGCGTATTATTAAATGCATTAATTCTTTGAAAATCTTCTTCTCTGCTCCTGGGTATTAAATAAACTTATTAAGTTCATAGTTATGATGAGCAAGAGTGCCTCTACCAAAATTGTGAATTTTATAGCCTCAGGGTCAGGGTAAATTTACCTAAACCACGTGTCTGCGATAAAATGTACACGTAGTAAACCAGCATGTTTTGTTGTTCTGTTATCAGATTGGACAATGACTAAGTGCGAAATAATAACAATTGCCATATAAGGTCCTCTCGGACATGCATATCCCTTTATTGTACTAAGACCCGCCCATTCTCTTGCCATAAAAGAAAATATTCTCACAAACCTGGCCGAATTTAGCTGTGATAGGGTCTAAAATATCAAAGGTAATGCGGTATTCCTTATAATTGATATGTGTCTGAACTATTGAAGCTATTCAAAAGGCGTCGTATTTATTCACTCATGTTTGAAAACTAACAACATCGTTGTAGATTAAATATAATTCGTCGTGGAAAAAGGGGCCCCAGATAGCAGTTATGTCACATCATCCTTTGCTTTTACTGGACAACATAACAACTATCATTTTTAACCATCTGCCTTCCTTCACTTAAACGATCAATCCAGTCATTGATTGAATTAATAGGAAGTTATTTGTCTTAATAAACTGTGTACAAATTATCATACGCTACTTCAAAGGGATTTCTATGATAAACCATAAATTTTACATTCGTTCGTTGAACGAGTACGACTGATACTACCATTTTACGTGACGAGTGACCTACATAATGATGTCATTTTTACATTGTGACGTCACAAACAAGGAACAAAACTTTATTCAGCATATGCTATTTATAGAACTTGTGTATGGCTATGTGTATACCATTTTTTTTAAAAATCTCCTTTGTGGTTTTGTAGATATAGAGATAGTTCGCGAACTTTTTTATCACCCCTCGTATATTTATGGCAAGCCAAATTCATAAGAATGAGCTAAACAATAGTTTCACTGTTGATAAACTAGGTTCATTGACTGTAAACTATAGTTTACAAACCGTGAACTATAGTTAACAATTCGTTCACTATATTTTTCATCTGTAAAACTATATTTAAAGGTTGTTAAGAATTGTAAACCATACCAGTAGTTTACAAATCGTGAAACTGTATTTTTATCAGATAAACTATGTTTTTTGCAATCGCAAATGATTGTTTTCAGTGTTAAGTATAGTTTAGGTTTCTGAAACATAGATTATTGCGATAACCATGTTTACAGATGTAAAATATAGATTAACGTTGTTAACTAGAGTTTACACTCCGTAAACTATAGTTTACAACCTATAAACCTAGTTTATCGACTGTGAAACTATGTTTAGCTAATTTTTGTGAATTTGGCGTGCCATATGTATTCAAGAATCTGTAATCTTATAGTTCTTAGGAAAGAGATAATTCTCATGCATTTACATGCATATTCAAATTTTTGGGTCCAGTCCTTTCATGATCTGAAGAAAAAAACATAAATCTCCCCTTTTGTTTGTTAGTTTTGCAATATTTGTAAGTTCTTAAAGGAATGAAAAATTTACATAAAAATTCTCAAAAAATATGGATATAACGAACAATATTCGATATAAAAAGTCCATTTAATCTATACAAATCAGGAACACAGTAAACACGAACCTCTAAAGCATCAGAGGAGGGATCAGGTGCCTTAGAGGAGTGAGCATTCCCCGCCGTGTACTATAAGAATCATTGTCATGCTCTAGAAATGTCGAAAAAAATCGTCGCAAGTATGTTGTTTAAATATGACCAATCAATTAGTATGAAAAACGTCAATGATAGAATGTATTTGTTGAAAAGGTTATTGTATTGTGGGTATCGACTCAACTGAGAGATAAACCCAGGTGATGAGGGTATTTTATTGCATTTATAGGTAGGGGAGGTTGAGGAAATTGAGGGTTAAAAAGTTGAAGTCATCACTTTTATCATAAAGCTTGGTAGTTTATAGATTACCATTCACATCTTTTTCTTCTTCAATATCAAAATATGAAACAAATGTGTCGGTCTTTTTGGTATCTTTTATTTCAAGCTCAATGAAACATATCAAGTCGACATACAAGTACATGTATGAATTAATGTAAATCTGTTATAAATTAGTACATGAATTTGCACTATGGTAGTTTTCATCCTTATTAAACTTGTTGTATTTTCCCTCTAAAGATTTAAACCTCTCTTTTACACACAAAAGAATATACTAGTTAATCAGATCACCTGATATTCTAAAATGTGCGCAATACACGATTTTTTTCCGGGAGAGGAGGGCCCACGTCCACTCAAAAAAAATTCCAGCAACAATGGAATATTTTAACAATTAAGCACGAGGGCGAACTTTGTCGAAACTAGAAAATTATTTGATAAGGAAGGTCGTGTTAGTTTATTTCGTTGTCTATTACTCCTTCTTACCATTAACCAAGGATCCCTTTCTCCTGAGGATGAGGTGGGGGGGGGGGCTCCCCATTGTCATTTTGGTTACTTTACTGTATAAATTTAGAAACGTATTAATCCTGAAAATCACTGAAGGGGTCTAGTTAGCATTCCTCTTGTCCCCTTTAGATCCGCAGATGACCTGGGCGACATATTAAATGGTGGTAAATGGAGTATTTTAAAAAATAAATATTCGTGTGTCTTTCTTAGATATGTGCATTTCCGTCATTTGGAAATAAAGAATGTGGAAGCCATAAATCGTCATCTTGTGTTGGTGCAATTAATTCACAAAATGAATTAAAATCACCGTCACATTGTAATAATGCACACCCTAGCATCTTTACGGTGGGCTTGAATTTACTTCCTTCTCTCCAAATGTGCAGAAGCTTTTGAATTCCCCTTAGAACATTATCTCTGTTTTCGTCCATGACTTGTTCTATTTGGCTAACTGGTAAGCCCAACTCTAGAAGAAACTGGAAATATTCTCGTCCAATCCTCAGTGCAACTTGATCAAGTTCCTGGTCGGTCAAATCTTTATCAAGTTCCTCCTTAGGGATATTTTGCATGACTATTTGAGAGGGAAAAAATCATATTTGTGTTTAAAAATTGTCAAAGAATAATGATTTTATTTGTAAATTACAGCATAATATGAGGAACAGCATTGCCTTTTAGTCATTATAATGTATCTTTGTACTTCGGATAAGACAAATTGAATGTACATGTATAAATAAGCCCTTGGTCCTGTATCGCAAAATATGATGGCACTAAAAGACCTCTCACGGCTTAATGGCTATAAATACCAAGTACAGACAGGTCATTGGCAATTGGTGGTGTCTGAACATGATTATCATTACCAAATTCATATGTGTACATAAATTCAAGAATCCAACTGGTGCTTTGTGTGCAATCAGCATGCAAAAGTTGGAATCTCAACTTTACTAAATATCAATTGATAATTTTGAAATAAGGGTCATTCTCAAGTCAAATGTCTGATTTCACAATCCTCTTACAGGGGTCTGATAGGGCATATTTCAAACTATATGGGCAAAAAATGTGTGGTTGAATTTCTTTCATAATATATATTAAGAGATAGTTTGTATCCAAGAACAAAATATCAAAGTTTCAGAAAAATAGAATCTGAGGAAAAGTAGGGCTATCTATTGTCATCTTCGCTAGCCAAGGGTTTCTGATACGCTACTCTCCTCATAAACCCTTGGCACACGGTGTTCATAAAAATCGGGATTTTTTTTCCAGAGTTCTGATTGGATTTCAGTACACCCGGTCGACCAATCAGCAATTGTTTTTTGTAAATGACGATATTCGTGTTTTGGATACTTCTTGACTCTTTAATATTGGAATTGAAAAACGCAAGTTAACAACGATCCGTAAGATAATATGTAATTCTATGAATAGCTATGGTGTCATCCAATATCTTCTAAATATGTGATTAAGAATCTATATTGAAGCTTCCGATTTGTACTATAAGTAATAAAAAAACATTACTCAATTATTGCTTCTAAATTATTCTTGAAAAAACTTTAATTTAATTTTTTTTAAACATGCGTCTTTATTTCTGTCGATGACGCAATCTGTGCGTACCTGATAGATTCAAGATCACTTGACGAAAATAATCCCGTCTTTTGACTTCACCGTAGGCCAAGGGTTTATGAGGAGAGTAGAGTATCAGAAACCCTTGGCTAGCGAAGATGATCTATTGTGTACTACCTTAAATACTTTAGCAAAATGGCAAAGGTATTATTTTTGTTAAAATATAGAAATTAATATTTGGGGAAAAATGAGAGGAGATCCATAAAATTTTCTTTATAACTCAACAGGTCACATTGCAAAGTTTAGAGAATAAATAAATATTTGTATACATGTATATATTTTTTCAAGGGGAGATAACTCATTATTAACATTGGTTATAATTTAAGGATTCTGTCCATGCATTTCATTTAGTTTAATTTGTCCTTATTGCTTTAACACGTTTTCAAAAGCATTATTTCGTTTGAATTTTTATTAAAATTAACAAATATCCGTCTATTATGAATCAAATACCTTAACAAACAAACTTTTCACCTTTGACTAGATGAGCTAGTAAAACATGCAAAAAAGGAAGTGTGAAAAATATATATCAACACAAAAAATAAAACGGTTTCTTTAAAAAATGCATTTTAGAATAAACTGTTACACTAAAACAATTTTAACTAGTTGTAGATCAAGTAAATATTTTGGATATTTAACTTGGAAAGATAAATACATGAATTATATTATGTATACATACCTTGCGTATCAATATAGTTGGTTTTGCAGACCTGAAAAATAATGAACGAATCCAGATAAATATACTATGTTAATTTATTTTACAATGCATATCTAACATACAAGCCAAAAAAAATATTTAATACATTTTCTTATTGCCGGGAGTATCCAGGGCCGATCAAAAAGAGGGGAGAAATCATTTGAAAGACTTAACAGTATAAAGTCTGATGCCATCCCACCCCACCCCTTACTTCCACAAAGTTTAACGTAACAGCACAGGTACCAAAGTCTCTAGTTTTTTTCACAGAGTGTACATGTGAAATAGAAAGCCCCATCTCTTCTCATTCAAGTGTTATGAGCAAGGTTTACGTTTTTGTGTCGGGCGGATAGACTGACTAACTGACAGACGGTGCCAAAGTGAATGTCTTGTCACAAGGAATAGACTTGTGAAATATGAAAGCCATAGTGCCAACTATTTAAACGTAAATGCCAAGGTAAAAGTTCTTCAAAAGATTGACAAACTACAAAGTCAACGTCAAAGGGTCAACATTGTAAATATCCAAAGGAAGATCTTTCACTAAAAATACATAAATAAAATTGTTTTTCATCCCCATTTACAATTCAATATTTTGACCACGCTTAATCTTGTTTAAAAATGGTCCAATTTCCATGGTCTAAATAAAGCTTCAAAGGGTAAAGTTGTTGGTACCTACGTGGCTGTTTTGTCAAAAGGTATTTACAGGTGAGATAAAATAGCGATAGAATCAACCGGTCAAATGTTATGGTCAAGTTTATAAATAGGTCAAACCCAAAGGGTTAAAATTGTTGCTTTTATGAAAAGGTCTTCTAACAAGAAATATACTGGTAAAATATGAAAGCGATGGGTCTTTCAATTCAAAAGTTATGTCCAAGGATAAATTCTTTTTAAAGTAGATCGACCTCAAATGCCAAAGGGTCAGGTAGACCTATAAAAATCTTGTAACAAGCTAGTAAGGTGCATTCCTGTGAAATATGAAAGTCGTAGCAATTACAATTTAAAGATTAGAGCCATCGTTAAAGTTTTTAAAAGAAGGTCAAGCGCAAAAGTCAAAGGTTTGGTACAAAGAGTAGCTCATATCAAAACAAGGGATATAAATGTGAAATATGAAAGTCATAGCACAAACCTATCAAAAGTTATGCTAATGTTTTTCAAAAGTGGATAAAGATCAAAGTCAAAAAAGTTTTAAAAAAATTTGATACGCCAGAAAACCCTTGTTATAAATGAAATTCTTTGGAAATATATAGGAAAGCCCTAGAATAAACGTTCAAAATTTGCAAATGTTGTTCCAACTCCAAGGTACTCGAAGAAATGTATTGTCACAAGATTTGGTGTATGAAACTTTTAACTCCAACTAATTAGGATAAACACATGTTTGCATGGTTGCCTGGATTGGAATAGTTTTTTGATGAAATTAATAAATTTCCATAATATTAAGATATTGTTAAAATTCTACCTTTCGGCAGCCATCCTTATTAATCTATACAAATATTTTCCAGTTCAAATTCCATTTTTGTGTAACTTTTGAATGAGAAATTAAAACTTAAAACTACTCGTTAAACTTGTTCATTTTACTCATTTTACTGAACATGACTCGGATTGTTATTTTTTAATTTTTTTTACAAAAAACAAATTTTTTACAATTCTGACAACATTTTCCGTTGTAAGAATACATAATAATAGAAAATTAAGGTGGAGTGTGCCACCTTTTTAAGCCCTTATAAAGATGGCCAAAAACACACCAATGGAATGTTTAACAGAACTTGCACAGTGTTTAGGTAAAATATGCTCTCATACCGACATTTTCAAAGACATTTTATATAGGGTATATTTTATTACCTTACACAAATTATGAATGTCAATATTGCATCGCTCTAAAGCATCTTGGAGATAAGAGAAAGTAGGTTTTGGTCTTTTTCGCCATTCATACAATACGTAAAACATCTGGTCATTTTGTGACCCGTGTTCCGCCACTATCCTATCCATTTCTTTCTGTGTGATCCCCAGTTCTGTACCAAGCTGGTGTTTTTGAAACGGGTCCGTCAACAACCTTGCTAGTCGTGATAGTTCAACATCCTCTACCGTCTTTTCTTTGCAAGTAAATCCAATACCTGTAAAAATGCATCGACACGTTTAAGCATTTAAACGTATCAATATTTACATCCTCAGAGTATTTTCTCCTTTTTAAAATATTTCTTACGAAAACCTTCACAGATTATCACTTAGCATATCAACTGTGCAAATTTTAAGACCAGTGGCTCTTTCATCAATGACCTACATATCAATATATTATATAAAAATATATTAACTTAATCAAATTTCAGAATATATCTGTAGTTTTTAAGACGTACCTGGGCAGTCTGTATTGCAATGCATTTGGGATTCAGGAGTTGAAATATCATCCTGCTAATAAATTCCAGTAATAAAATAAACTAACACTTTTCCAAGTACGTTAAGCACGTTAATCCATTTCATATTTATTTATTTGTATTTAGGTAGCATAAGTTTTGTTTGGTAATAGTATATTTTACTCTCTCTCTCTTTCTCTCTCTCTCTCTCTCTCTCGCTCTCTCTCTCTCTCTCTCTCTCTCTCTCTCTCTCTCTCTCTCTAAAATATACTATTACCAAACAAAACTTATGTTATACTATAACCAAACAAAACTTATGCTACCTAAATACGCCTCGGTCAATATGAATATTTTTCTGGTGAATAACAAACCATATTCAACATAAAAAAGCCCATAATTGTATTATACTTAAATATTTCAGAATATTCATAGTGTTTAAATTATTTCCTTCAATTTAAAGTTGTATTTTGGTGGGATAATTTCTGCACTTTTCAAGGCAGCTTCAACGACAAAATCTTCATTTTGCAAAAAATTCTGTCAAAAAATATTGCTAAACTTACGATTGAATCGTAATTATTAACTGTATAAATATGGCAGGGTGCAGCTTGCCTCAATATCGCACAGAACATCGTTGAATAAGACGTACGCATGAAAAACTAAAGGTTCTGTGAGCAATGAGCTCACTAAATGATACACCCCCCCTCCCCCACCTCCCATATGAATATAATGGCAGTATCCATGTTTTGTTGTGGGAAACCCAAAATATGTGTCAGATCAAAAAGTAAAATAGGAGGTGCACAATAGCAAAATGTAATAAGGATTCTGTGAAAGTTCCATCAATTTTCATTCAGTGGTATGAGAGGAGTTGCGGATAAGAGATGGGTACCCCAAAGCGTAAGAGACAGACAGACAGATGGACATACCGATTACTATATACCCTCCCGCTTTCTAAGCGGTTATAATAATGTAATCCGAATTAGATACCATTTTTCATTGTGTTGTAACATGTATACCATTGGTTACAAAATTAATTTTAAAAAAAAACAATGATTGTGTGTTTTAGTCAGCTATTTGTGTATCCTCAAAAGACTTGATTGCTGCGAGGCTTACCTGATAAAGTCTTTCAATATTTGTATTAATGAAATCTAAAAATTAAGTTTAAGACTATTTATCCTATTTGTCACATTTCAATAAAGAGACAACATAAAGAATCCATTCATAAGTGGAAAAAATAAAACTTACTAATTCCTGAAAGTCGCTGTTGACTGAGAGATTTTCATGGAATGGAAGTAAACATGCCTCAAGAAAAGACATGAGTGTTATATTGACACTGTTGTAGAGAGCAGCACTGATACTTTCTTTAGACCTCCTATGGACTACATACACTCGAATGTATGTAGGAAATGCTCGTAATATTAGAATGTGATGAAGATCTAATCGGAAAAATCCACAGGCAGTAAACAAGCTTTCTTTGACCACTGGCCACATAGATGTACAGAAGGATAGCAATCTGTATCCAATAGCTGGAGGGATGAGCTCTTTGTTTATCGAAACGTCAAACGACTTGTAAAGCTTTTCTGAATTCTTAAGGAATGTGTCCACTCTCTCTTTACTGTCTGATTCCTCAATCATACAAGGAATAAGGTATATTTTTTGCTGGTTGACATGTACTTCCTTTCCACCAACATATGACTTTGGCTTTACAATTATGTCCATGTGTTGAAAAACACTCAGCAAGACATCAGAATACTTGTGAAGTAGTTCATTATTTGCCCATATCGATTTTATAGTATCTTCTAAGACAACTCCTTTAGTTGACAAATTCTTCCAACATTCCAAATTCCATCCTGATTTTTTCATGTGGCCTTCTGTTGAAATGAGACATTTTAGAGCTCTTATTAGGAATGAAGGATCTAATATTATGATATTCTTCAGCAGCTTGGTATTGAAGAAGATAATGTCGCCAATTTCATGTTGTCGTTGAAGCATGTTTTCCAAAGAAGAATCTTCAATGGGTACTATTGAGTTCTGATTGAACTCTTTCAGTTCTTTTAAAGTTAGAATGTCAATCCCTTCCTCTCTTTTAGTTACAATGAAATCTAACAAATGAAGCCATGATTTTGGGAAAGGCTCTTCCCAATGAGGCTGAAGTTTCGCTTCTTCTAAGATAAAATCTCTAAGGGCAACATATTTTTCTTCATCTGTCTCTTTAGCATTAAAAAATAGACGTTCATTGATGATTAGCTGTTTGTTAGAAACCAGTCTATGATACTTTTCCTTTATTTGTGCACAAATCTTTTCTACTCTATAGGATGGATTTCTTTCCTAAAAAGTAAAAATCCGTTGTGGTTTAATATTTAAAGACAAGCTACCCCGATAATTTGATCGAAGGAAGATTACTGATAAGAAACAATGTTTTCTTCAATTTTAAACCACATATAATTGGAGATTTGTTTAGTGTGCGACCTTTCTAATTCTTTTATGTGATTGTGTCTCTCAAAAACACACGAACCTTCATACATACTCTTTTTTCTCTATTTCTCTTTCTCAAACACATGTATACACACCCTCAAACACATACGCACACAAGAAGAGTAAACAAGAGGCTTATGGGCCATAACGCTCCTTCAGCAACTTTTGCCCTGCTGTTCTTCACACAATTTTCACCTTTGTTTAATTTGACCCTATCCTATCCCCGAGGGTTGTGATTTGAAAAACTTAGAAAGCTTCACATTTTTTGACCAAATGGATCTTCCTCATATGCTCGATGTTAAATCCAGTAAGTCTTGAGAATGAGATACTTTTAATGACCCACCCTGTTTTGTAGTTTTTGATTCCCTTGCACGGGAACTAGGCCTTCAACTTAACATAAAACACCCCCTTCTCATATAAGGGTGCTTTGTTTCAATTTTGGCTAAAGGATGTTGTGACATACGACCCCCGGTAAATTGGCAAAAAATTTAATTTCGCATGACACAATTTTCCATGCACAGTCATTGATATTTTTACATTTATGGAAAACTACTCTTAACAATAGTAGAAACGTAGTTTGGAATATATTTATCTTTCATTTGGGTAGTGGTACCTTGTTTACATCTATTTCACATTGAATATTGACTGATCACTGTATTTTATCAAAATCTACCTATGAAAAGAGAAAATTGTAGCTATGAATTTAATGGAAGCGTACAATTACCATGAGTACAATTACAAACATTTGATTTATTGTATAATTTGATAGTTTTGGAAGTCGGTTAATGAACACATGACTTCTTGTATTACCAAATATCAGTGAATACAAATTTCATGTACATTGCTTGGTCCAAACCGATAGTCGCAGAGGGGTGTGTTCTCCGAATGGCTACTCGGAAAAAACAACAAGTAATTATCACACTCAATTAAGGGGCCCTCTAAGGGGTACAGGTAGACTTACCTGTGTTTACCTGGATAACCAATATATTTTAAATCAGATATATTCATTCAATTTCATTTTAATGAAGAGTTTTTTTTTCCCGAAATATACTGAATAAATATAAATACATGTAGATAAAATTAAGATTTAAGAGAAATAATATTTTTATTTGTACTTTATTTTTTTTTTCAAATTATTCAATAGTATTGATTGAGGATTTACAAATTAGTATCCCCTTTTTGTGCTACGTTTTCAAACTCTTTTAAATAAATCTATATAGTTTTGTCAAATTTAATTCATTAATTTATCATTTTTAATTATCAAAACATTCTTTCAAGTCATCATAAAAAACAGAAGATTATCTTTCAATTTTAAAATAAATATACAGACTCTGCATCTGAACTTCTTCACGTTGGATAGTGATCCCTTAGTTGTAATGAAACATATGAAGATGGACTAAATAAATTGTAAATATTGTAAATATGTGTGATTTGAAAGTGAAACAGTGCTATTTAATATATAATGTGAAAATCAGTGCTGCTAAACAATAGAACTTCAAGATAATTTATAGTTTTTAATGTGTTTTGTGCTTGTAAAATTATTTATTTAAAAAAATATGTATACAAAATATTATTTCATACTACTGCTAAAAAAATGAATTAAAAAAAAGGTTTTATTTAAATTCTGGTAGATTATTCATACAAGTAAGAAGCTGTATCCCTTAGAGGGCCCCTTAATTGAGTGTGATAATTACTTGTTGTTTTTTCCTAGTAGCCATTCGGGGAATAAACCAGATAGCCATGCACGAGATTCTAATTCTGTAACATATATTTAATAAGTATCAATTAAGGGAGAATAAGTCTATAATTTTTTCGTAGTCGGCATTTTTATTAGAATACAGTCTAAGCATAGTTTTGTGTATTGCTACTAACAGACATGACATCGTTTTTTATGTGCAGTATTTTGTGCACAAAACGGCGCGGATTCTGTGACTTGATAACATTTATAAAATCATTTTCATATCAATTTTTGTTTTCATATTTTGTTTCGTCCAATGACAATATACATTTTTAATTTTATTTCAACAAGTATTGATTGGCACTATAACGTTTATCAAAGTATTTAAACATTAAAACATATTGATGTAAAGCGATATTCTTTAATATTGCCAATGGTATGAGGCTTAAATAAAATCAAGGCAATTCGTTATCCGGACGATTCACGTATCCGAACAAATTGACTGGGAACCAAGGCGTCTGCATAAATGGGGTTCCAGTGTATATTTTTATTTGAAATTATATGAAATTCATGTAAAAATCATATAAATATTTTAATTTTTTATGCGAATATCAAAGTTTGTATGATATTCACATATTTTTTTTTAGAACTTTCACGTGAAATTTTCTTTCCACAATATTTTTGATATTCTCTTCGTGCAAAATCTATACTGATAAATTTAAAAATAATATATTTTGCAAATGAAACTCCGAATCGGGTGTACCAGAGTTCGTAATACCTACTTTTTAAAGAATACACTGGGTACAAGGTGATGTCTGTAAAATATAGATATTCCATGATTTGTAGTTAGATATGATTTTTATCCAATGAGTTGTGTGTTTTTTTTAATCCCTGATGTTAAAAAGACAAACGAGGCAATTACAGCTGCATTAGTATAAAAAAGCTTTTTTGTGAGAAGTAATTAAAGTAATGGTAAATCCTCGATAACACAATACGTTGTGAATATATTATGTATAGAAAGACTAATAGTAGGTTTTCCAATAAATTGCTATTATATTCCTCACTGTTAGCATCAAGGCAATCCCAATTTTCTTTAGCTTTGGTGTTGCAAGGTTTTTAGGATACATATTATAATTTATAATATTTGCCTGTCTTGAATTTTCATGTTTTTCCTAAAGACAGCAACATACCCTAACCAAATCTTAGTTACTGATTTTGCTTGGTTACACTGTGTTACCACGTGAACAATAAAATGTATTTATAGAATAATATCGCTCATACATATATACTTTAGGTCAAACATTTTCATTATTTTTCTTAAGTTGTTGATTTAGTGTTTTAGCATGTAGCACCTACCATTAGTGAATACGTTTTTCAGCATAATCTAGCATTTTAAATGTATTCCAAATGAACCCGTGGCTATCACGTACACAGAGATATATTCTAAACAGTTCTTACAGTATAAGTGGCAACAAGGTGTTAAGTTTTAGTGAGATTTTTTTTGCTTTTCTAGTTTTTATTAAGGCTCAGTAAAGGTTTAAAATGGCTGAAAATCTAAATTTTAAAAAAAATAATCCGGCTGTTACCATGGCAACCGGGACACATAGCAACAAAAATTTATTTGATACATCTTTCTGGTGTCGAATACTAAGAATAGGTGAAGTTTAATCAAAATCGGTGACCATGCGCGGCAAAGACGTTAAAATGGTTACAGAGAATTTTTAATGCATTTTCACTCTATAATCAATAGAGCACATTCCTAACACCAGAACCCACAACCCTCGGGCCATGAAATTCACAATTTTGGTATAATAAAATACATTTAATTTGTTAAATACCCAGGAACAGAGAAGACGATTGTCAAAGAAATAATGCATTTTCACTATATAATCTATATAGCCTCGCCCTTGTACTAGAACCCCTGAGTTTCACAATTTTTGTATAGGACTCAATGCTTATAATATTTATGCCAACAGTTTGACTGCTTGATGTCCAGGAGTAAAGAAGAACATTTTTAAATATTGCATTTATTTGAGTGATTTTGCCCCATCCCTCAAGCCCCAGGGGGCAGGGACCATGATATTCATAATTGTTCCCCTTCATCCATAGAAGTTTTATTGATTGGAATCGATTGAGCGATTGCATAGAAAAAGCTGAAAATGTTCAAATGATAATGCACGACGCATACTTCAAGACGATGGACGAAAACGGATAGCAATAGGTCATCTGAGTTTACTCATGTGACCTAAAAACCGAACACAGTATATATTTTTCCTTTATTCAGGAATGAACACAATACTTACTATTTCATCGATATGTGTCCCAATAAGAATTATACGAGGGAATCCTGATTCGTTGCTCTTTGCATAATTTGTTATTGTAGATATCCAAAAGTCTATAAAGTCTGCAAAAATGTATTCAATACATTTAAAATAATATGTCAGGAGACTATATAATAGGTTAAAATAATTCTACATACAATGTCATATTTATTATAACCCCTTTTTCTATTTTAAATCACATTTGGTTCATAATATGAAGTATATGACTGTATGTTAAATTAAAACAGTCTTCATGTTTAAATTTAAATGCAACGAAGCAAAGTACAATATCATTGAAAATCCTATAGAAATAAGAAAAATAAATAATTATTTGTACCTTCAATTTTAGATTCTGATTGCTGTGTCGGGTGTAAGCTCTTGTCTTGAAGTGTTGCATTCAAGTCTTTGGCGCAATTAATGACAAGCAAGTACATACATCGACTAGTTAGAAAGCTCTGGTGAGTTGTGTAGAACACATTCTGACCTCCAAAGTCCCACATGTCGATAAATATATCTTTCATTCGATCTTCAAGCTCTGCTGTTCGTGCTTTCTGTGACTTTTCATAAAATTCCGAAGAATATTTGCTTCTTTCCTCGTTTTCATTTGAAGATTGATCGGGTCTTACACACGGAACATTGTTTGCATTGTTAGTTTTATTATGCATGAGAGTTTTTTGAGATTTATATACAGGTTTCAATAACGATGTACTAGTTTGGGTTGTCGTACTATTAGGATCCGAAACGTTATCAAATGAATGTTTCTGCTTTTCTTCTGCCAAGGCCGTAACAGCTTTAAATATATCATACGTTTCATCAGATATTTTAAAGTTTGTTTTCTTTCCTTTCCTGTCGAAAAGTACTGTATTTGGTGCCGCTGCCAAGGCAGCAGGAGAAATAAAGTTATCTTGAACTGAAATTTAATGAAAAAAGGACAGTCAGAAAAAAAACTAATCAATCAACTTCAATACATTCAAACTGGGTTTTTTTTATTAAACGTATCAAAAATTCAATAATTTGCAGCCTAAATGATTAAACTAATGATTTCTCTCGTTTGATGAAAGAAAAACTAACCTAAACACCACTCTCCGGTGTCATCATTTGAATCATCTATTCGACATCGAGCTCGAAACAAATCTATACCATCAGTGCTTTCAATTCCTTTCATATCTTTTCCTATTAAACCGTATGTCAATGTTGTCTTGCCTACTCCATAATGACCAACAACCATTATTCGAACTTGTCTAATTTTGCAAGCGCCATGTCGCAATTCATTTTCAAATGCTTCCTTTGATACTTAAAAGGAAAACAAAAAACAAAACAAATTATGGTAAAACATGGAAACATTTAACCCCTGTTGATCAGCAGTATCCTTCTGTAACGATGTGCAATTAAGGCATATAAATAAAGGTCATTTATGTCTAAAGCACAAAAGTTAATGTGGCAAAGTATCTTTTCGAGAAATTCGGGGAAGGACTTGTAGCTTTTATATATAGTGAAGTAGTGTGCTACAATTCCATAGCATCTCCGTAATGATGAAAATAAATATTTTGTAAATACACGCGACGCAGGCAAAATAAATTGTTTTTGCATTCAACTTAAGCTACTTAAGCTTACTTCCTATGAAAAAAAATGTTTTACTGTCAAAAACACAATCCCAATTTTCTTTAGCTTTGGTGTTGCAAGGTTTTTAGGATACATATTATAATTTATAATATTTGCCTGTCTTGAATTTTCATGTTTTTCCTAAAGACAGCAACATACCCTAACCAAATCTTAGTTACTGATTTTGCTTGGTTACACTGTGTTACCACGTGAACAATAAAATGTATTTATAGAATAATATCGCTCATACATATATACTTTAGGTCAAACATTTTCATTATTTTTCTTAAGTTGTTGATTTAGTGTTTTAGCATGTAGCACCTACCATTAGTGAATACGTTTTTCAGCATAATCTAGCATTTTAAATGTATTCCAAATGAACCCGTGGCTATCACGTACACAGAGATATATTCTAAACAGTTCTTACAGTATAAGTGGCAACAAGGTGTTAAGTTTTAGTGAGATTTTTTTTGCTTTTCTAGTTTTTATTAAGGCTCAGTAAAGGTTTAAAATGGCTGAAAATCTAAATTTTAAAAAAAATAATCCGGCTGTTACCATGGCAACCGGGACACATAGCAACAAAAATTTATTTGATACATCTTTCTGGTGTCGAATACTAAGAATAGGTGAAGTTTAATCAAAATCGGTGACCATGCGCGGCAAAGACGTTAAAATGGTTACAGAGAATTTTTAATGCATTTTCACTCTATAATCAATAGAGCACATTCCTAACACCAGAACCCACAACCCTCGGGCCATGAAATTCACAATTTTGGTATAATAAAATACATTTAATTTGTTAAATACCCAGGAACAGAGAAGACGATTGTCAAAGAAATAATGCATTTTCACTATATAATCTATATAGCCTCGCCCTTGTACTAGAACCCCTGAGTTTCACAATTTTTGTATAGGACTCAATGCTTATAATATTTATGCCAACAGTTTGACTGCTTGATGTCCAGGAGTAAAGAAGAACATTTTTAAATATTGCATTTATTTGAGTGATTTTGCCCCATCCCTCAAGCCCCAGGGGGCAGGGACCATGATATTCATAATTGTTCCCCTTCATCCATAGAAGTTTTATTGATTGGAATCGATTGAGCGATTGCATAGAAAAAGCTGAAAATGTTCAAATGATAATGCACGACGCATACTTCAAGACGATGGACGAAAACGGATAGCAATAGGTCATCTGAGTTTACTCATGTGACCTAAAAACCGAACACAGTATATATTTTTCCTTTATTCAGGAATGAACACAATACTTACTATTTCATCGATATGTGTCCCAATAAGAATTATACGAGGGAATCCTGATTCGTTGCTCTTTGCATAATTTGTTATTGTAGATATCCAAAAGTCTATAAAGTCTGCAAAAATGTATTCAATACATTTAAAATAATATGTCAGGAGACTATATAATAGGTTAAAATAATTCTACATACAATGTCATATTTATTATAACCCCTTTTTCTATTTTAAATCACATTTGGTTCATAATATGAAGTATATGACTGTATGTTAAATTAAAACAGTCTTCATGTTTAAATTTAAATGCAACGAAGCAAAGTACAATATCATTGAAAATCCTATAGAAATAAGAAAAATAAATAATTATTTGTACCTTCAATTTTAGATTCTGATTGCTGTGTCGGGTGTAAGCTCTTGTCTTGAAGTGTTGCATTCAAGTCTTTGGCGCAATTAATGACAAGCAAGTACATACATCGACTAGTTAGAAAGCTCAGGGACCCGTTTCATCAAAGGTCGTACGCCCAGTCGTAGCGCTACGCCGGTGTAAAGTCAGGACTAGCACGAAGAGTTGCGTTTCATTAGAGAACGTATCGTTACACCTGACTAAATTTAGGCCAAAATTCTACGTCTACTCATGGGTAGGCGTAAGTTTGGGCGTAAAGTTTAAATTCAGTAATCTAACTAATTTTAAAACAAGTAAGCGAATTCTAAAGAAAAGGCACGGTTCTAAGAAGTCTCTTAAATACAATCATTGTATTATTTAATTATACAAACTATGAAGGGGGGGGGGGGGTCACAGCCACTTGAGGGCGTAGTCGATTGGAGTTATAACATACTTAATTAAATCTGCTCAGAAGGAAAGATTGTAAGAAATTTCTTCGACCACCATGCCTTACGTTTTCACAAAGCATTCACAAACATTTGATTATTGTATATATGAGGTATTGTAAATCGATTATACATATATAATTATATATTTATACCCCCACCTGAAAGCGGAATGGTATATAGTAATCGGGATGTCCGTCCGTCCGTCTATTACGCTTTGGGGTGCCATTGTGTCTTATTTTACTTTTTGGTCCGACTCATATTATGGGCTTACCATAGCAAAACATGGACACTGCCATTATATTCATATGGGAGGCGGGAGATCCATTAAAATCGTCTCTTTTGAAGAAAAAAAAACGCAAAAATATATTTTTTGAAAAAAAATCGGTCTCAAAAACACAGTCATCCTCTTCTGGTAATTTTCTACATTTAACTTAAAGAAAAAATAATTAACCCTAAAACCAGATAGGTTTTTTTTATCTTGTTCGAAGAGTTCATTTTTTTTTTACTCCTCGTCCACAAGCGTGGATTTCGAAAGGACCGGAGAGAGGATTCAGAACTTCCCGAATTTGCAGATTAATTAACATTTTTAAATGTAAAGAGTTAGGGGCGAAGGTAATTATTCGTCTAGGTATATGTGTATCTGAGAAAAGTGAAGTCCCTGAGAATCAAAGACGAAACCCGGGGATAGGGGTCTCATAGACAATAAGAAATTTTTAAATTGGGAAAATATTATTACTTTTATTATATCGATGTAAGACGGTCAAAATTACACAGATAAGTTCAAGAAATGATTTATTCCTAAAAATTTTTTTTTCTCAGACAAACATTGATGCAGAAGACATCTTTATTTTTCATGATTTCGTCTAAAAGAGTAAACGTTACATACTATTACATAATCTGAGCGCATATAAAGCACATGTAAGAAAACAATATACATATTTTTTTTATTTCCAGCATAACTTAAATTCTAATGAAAAAAAAATAAAGACTAAGTGTAACTTAATTTCTAAGAGAGAGGTCACGCAAGCAGAGACTCTGTAAGAATATCTTTGTAGTCATCTCTCTCTCTCTCTCTCTCTCTCTCTCTCTGCATACTTGTAAAACGGTACATTAAATTTAAGCTGCAGATAGTAAAGAATTTTTGTCTATAACTGACTGTACCTAGAGTCTAGTATTTCGAAATTATTTCATGAACCTTTGTGCCATTTTAATAGTCAATAAAAAACTATAATGAATCATTTGACAAAAATTTAATAGACTTATTAGAAAGGATTGTCTTACATGTACCTTAGAAGTAAACGTGTAAAATTTATTTCTTGACTCAAAATGTGTACATATGTAAACTGCATTTTTTATTATACATTATTTTTGCTTTCAATTTAAAATACATATCTTATGAAAATAATGTTTTAAAATCGTATTCTTTCTCAAACGTATTAGTATTTTATCAGTAGAGTCAATAATTATCGAATCATGAAATGATTATCAAAGGCGAAGTCATTAACATGTGTCAATTTCGGGAAGGGGGGGGGGTGCTGTGTATAATTAAAATTCCAAAATAAACAGTTTAGCCTTTAATACAATTCTGAAATACATGTACGATCCTTTTTTAACTTTCAATTTATAAGACTTTTATTATTGAAAAATTATAAAAACCTAAAATCGATGTCTTATAAGGTACATGTCTCCTACATGACCCTATAAATCCATGCATGTTTCAATCAGTGCAAGTATTTATTATTCTATAATTTGTGTTATTCTATTCTTTTAGGTGCTGGAATTATATACATGTTTGTACGCAGTGGACAATGTTTATATTATTGCGCCTGCGCAATGCAACGTTGTCAAGGACTTAGTCTTGCGACTAAGCGTATCGTTTACGACTAGACTTACGCCACTTGGTGAAACGCAAATTACGCCTGACTAAATTTTGGCGTAAGTCCCGGAAGTACACCTAAGTTAAGGCTTAAATCTACGACCTGTGATGAAACGGGCCCCTGGTGAGTTGTGTAGAACACATTCTGACCTCCAAAGTCCCACATGTCGATAAATATATCTTTCATTCGATCTTCAAGCTCTGCTGTTCGTGCTTTCTGTGACTTTTCATAAAATTCCGAAGAATATTTGCTTCTTTCCTCGTTTTCATTTGAAGATTGATCGGGTCTTACACACGGAACATTGTTTGCATTGTTAGTTTTATTATGCATGAGAGTTTTTTGAGATTTATATACAGGTTTCAATAACGATGTACTAGTTTGGGTTGTCGTACTATTAGGATCCGAAACGTTATCAAATGAATGTTTCTGCTTTTCTTCTGCCAAGGCCGTAACAGCTTTAAATATATCATACGTTTCATCAGATATTTTAAAGTTTGTTTTCTTTCCTTTCCTGTCGAAAAGTACTGTATTTGGTGCCGCTGCCAAGGCAGCAGGAGAAATAAAGTTATCTTGAACTGAAATTTAATGAAAAAAGGACAGTCAGAAAAAAAACTAATCAATCAACTTCAATACATTCAAACTGGGTTTTTTTTATTAAACGTATCAAAAATTCAATAATTTGCAGCCTAAATGATTAAACTAATGATTTCTCTCGTTTGATGAAAGAAAAACTAACCTAAACACCACTCTCCGGTGTCATCATTTGAATCATCTATTCGACATCGAGCTCGAAACAAATCTATACCATCAGTGCTTTCAATTCCTTTCATATCTTTTCCTATTAAACCGTATGTCAATGTTGTCTTGCCTACTCCATAATGACCAACAACCATTATTCGAACTTGTCTAATTTTGCAAGCGCCATGTCGCAATTCATTTTCAAATGCTTCCTTTGATACTTAAAAGGAAAACAAAAAACAAAACAAATTATGGTAAAACATGGAAACATTTAACCCCTGTTGATCAGCAGTATCCTTCTGTAACGATGTGCAATTAAGGCATATAAATAAAGGTCATTTATGTCTAAAGCACAAAAGTTAATGTGGCAAAGTATCTTTTCGAGAAATTCGGGGAAGGACTTGTAGCTTTTATATATAGTGAAGTAGTGTGCTACAATTCCATAGCATCTCCGTAATGATGAAAATAAATATTTTGTAAATACACGCGACGCAGGCAAAATAAATTGTTTTTGCATTCAACTTAAGCTACTTAAGCTTACTTCCTATGAAAAAAAATGTTTTACTGTCAAAAACACAATCCCAATTTTCTTTAGCTTTGGTGTTGCAAGGTTTTTAGGATACATATTATAATTTATAATATTTGCCTGTCTTGAATTTTCATGTTTTTCCTAAAGACAGCAACATACCCTAACCAAATCTTAGTTACTGATTTTGCTTGGTTACACTGTGTTACCACGTGAACAATAAAATGTATTTATAGAATAATATCGCTCATACATATATACTTTAGGTCAAACATTTTCATTATTTTTCTTAAGTTGTTGATTTAGTGTTTTAGCATGTAGCACCTACCATTAGTGAATACGTTTTTCAGCATAATCTAGCATTTTAAATGTATTCCAAATGAACCCGTGGCTATCACGTACACAGAGATATATTCTAAACAGTTCTTACAGTATAAGTGGCAACAAGGTGTTAAGTTTTAGTGAGATTTTTTTTGCTTTTCTAGTTTTTATTAAGGCTCAGTAAAGGTTTAAAATGGCTGAAAATCTAAATTTTAAAAAAAATAATCCGGCTGTTACCATGGCAACCGGGACACATAGCAACAAAAATTTATTTGATACATCTTTCTGGTGTCGAATACTAAGAATAGGTGAAGTTTAATCAAAATCGGTGACCATGCGCGGCAAAGACGTTAAAATGGTTACAGAGAATTTTTAATGCATTTTCACTCTATAATCAATAGAGCACATTCCTAACACCAGAACCCACAACCCTCGGGCCATGAAATTCACAATTTTGGTATAATAAAATACATTTAATTTGTTAAATACCCAGGAACAGAGAAGACGATTGTCAAAGAAATAATGCATTTTCACTATATAATCTATATAGCCTCGCCCTTGTACTAGAACCCCTGAGTTTCACAATTTTTGTATAGGACTCAATGCTTATAATATTTATGCCAACAGTTTGACTGCTTGATGTCCAGGAGTAAAGAAGAACATTTTTAAATATTGCATTTATTTGAGTGATTTTGCCCCATCCCTCAAGCCCCAGGGGGCAGGGACCATGATATTCATAATTGTTCCCCTTCATCCATAGAAGTTTTATTGATTGGAATCGATTGAGCGATTGCATAGAAAAAGCTGAAAATGTTCAAATGATAATGCACGACGCATACTTCAAGACGATGGACGAAAACGGATAGCAATAGGTCATCTGAGTTTACTCATGTGACCTAAAAACCGAACACAGTATATATTTTTCCTTTATTCAGGAATGAACACAATACTTACTATTTCATCGATATGTGTCCCAATAAGAATTATACGAGGGAATCCTGATTCGTTGCTCTTTGCATAATTTGTTATTGTAGATATCCAAAAGTCTATAAAGTCTGCAAAAATGTATTCAATACATTTAAAATAATATGTCAGGAGACTATATAATAGGTTAAAATAATTCTACATACAATGTCATATTTATTATAACCCCTTTTTCTATTTTAAATCACATTTGGTTCATAATATGAAGTATATGACTGTATGTTAAATTAAAACAGTCTTCATGTTTAAATTTAAATGCAACGAAGCAAAGTACAATATCATTGAAAATCCTATAGAAATAAGAAAAATAAATAATTATTTGTACCTTCAATTTTAGATTCTGATTGCTGTGTCGGGTGTAAGCTCTTGTCTTGAAGTGTTGCATTCAAGTCTTTGGCGCAATTAATGACAAGCAAGTACATACATCGACTAGTTAGAAAGCTCTGGTGAGTTGTGTAGAACACATTCTGACCTCCAAAGTCCCACATGTCGATAAATATATCTTTCATTCGATCTTCAAGCTCTGCTGTTCGTGCTTTCTGTGACTTTTCATAAAATTCCGAAGAATATTTGCTTCTTTCCTCGTTTTCATTTGAAGATTGATCGGGTCTTACACACGGAACATTGTTTGCATTGTTAGTTTTATTATGCATGAGAGTTTTTTGAGATTTATATACAGGTTTCAATAACGATGTACTAGTTTGGGTTGTCGTACTATTAGGATCCGAAACGTTATCAAATGAATGTTTCTGCTTTTCTTCTGCCAAGGCCGTAACAGCTTTAAATATATCATACGTTTCATCAGATATTTTAAAGTTTGTTTTCTTTCCTTTCCTGTCGAAAAGTACTGTATTTGGTGCCGCTGCCAAGGCAGCAGGAGAAATAAAGTTATCTTGAACTGAAATTTAATGAAAAAAGGACAGTCAGAAAAAAAACTAATCAATCAACTTCAATACATTCAAACTGGGTTTTTTTTATTAAACGTATCAAAAATTCAATAATTTGCAGCCTAAATGATTAAACTAATGATTTCTCTCGTTTGATGAAAGAAAAACTAACCTAAACACCACTCTCCGGTGTCATCATTTGAATCATCTATTCGACATCGAGCTCGAAACAAATCTATACCATCAGTGCTTTCAATTCCTTTCATATCTTTTCCTATTAAACCGTATGTCAATGTTGTCTTGCCTACTCCATAATGACCAACAACCATTATTCGAACTTGTCTAATTTTGCAAGCGCCATGTCGCAATTCATTTTCAAATGCTTCCTTTGATACTTAAAAGGAAAACAAAAAACAAAACAAATTATGGTAAAACATGGAAACATTTAACCCCTGTTGATCAGCAGTATCCTTCTGTAACGATGTGCAATTAAGGCATATAAATAAAGGTCATTTATGTCTAAAGCACAAAAGTTAATGTGGCAAAGTATCTTTTCGAGAAATTCGGGGAAGGACTTGTAGCTTTTATATATAGTGAAGTAGTGTGCTACAATTCCATAGCATCTCCGTAATGATGAAAATAAATATTTTGTAAATACACGCGACGCAGGCAAAATAAATTGTTTTTGCATTCAACTTAAGCTACTTAAGCTTACTTCCTATGAAAAAAAATGTTTTACTGTCAAAAACACAACCTTTTACGTAAACATCAGGTAAAATGAAATAGCGTGTTTACCAGTTAGTTCTTTCTGCTGCCATGACAGTTCTCGCGTGATGTACTGAGACGCACTTGAAATGTGGAATATTGTAATTAATTTTGATAAAGAAAATACCGGTTTAAAAATGATATTCTTGCATGGCATCCTTAAATATTAATAAATAAAACCGTGCCATGTGACAATGAAATCACTAATTTTCGTGGGGGTTTAATTTTCGTTGTTTTCGGGGCAAGGAGAGACCCACGAAATTATGACCACCATGAAATTTAAAATTTAATATACATTATTATGAAACATTCTCCATCCACGAAATCAAATCCCCACAAATTAGGATTTTTTATCTCAAATCTCGAAAATTTGACCTCATGAAAACATGTGATTTTACAGTATTTGGTTTACAAACACAAATGATTTGAACAAAATTGAATGCATAATACCTGAGGATGATTTAACATAAGTTTCCTCTTTCCTATCCCTATGGATCTTGAGAAGATTACTAAAAAAATATTCCTAATATATATTCCTATGTAAAACTTTGATCGGCCGCTGTGTCCCCACCCTAACCCCGGGGGTCATGATTTGAACAAACTTGAATGTACACTGAGGATGACTTAACATAAATTTCATCTTTCCTGCCCCTATGGGTATTCAGAAGATTTTTAAAGATTTTTCCTATATATAACTATGTAAAACTTTGATCGGCCATTGTGGCTCCAAACTTGAATGTACACTACCTGGGACTAATTCAACATGAGTTTCATCTTTCCTGTCCCTATGGATATCGAAAAGAAGATGTTAAAAGATTGTTCCTATATATTCCTGTGTAAAACTTTGATCGGCCATTTTGGCCCCACCCTTGCCCCGGGGGTCATGATTTGAACAAAACTTAAATCTACACTACCTGAGGATGATTCCACATGAGTTTCATCTTTCCTAGCCCATTGGTTCTTGAGTAGAAGGTTTTTTAAAAATGCTATTAATTTTTCACTAATTCATAATTATCTCCCCTTAGAAGAGGGCGTGGCCCTTCATTTGAACAAATTTGAATCCCCTTTACCCAAGGAAACTTTGTAGCAAGTATGGTTGAAATTGGTCCAGCGGTTCTTGAGAAGATGAAAAAATCCGTAAAAAATATAGAAATCTCAAGTTTTCTTTGCAGCTTAGAATTGCGGTTTTTTTTTTGTCGTTTTCTATGTAATGCTATATAAAATTTTGCAAAAATTTTTAACATTGTGTCACAATGTTACAAAATTCTCTTACCTATTTGAATATAGCTCTATGAAAAATATTGCTGATTTCTGAAGAAAAAAAAATATGTTATGCCTAGGTCACATTTAAGCCATAGGTCGGGCGACTAAATTGTTCTGGTCTCGTCGGCTGAAAGACCTTGATCGGCTGACACGAGTATCAGGCGACACGGAGCAGTCACATTAATTTCTAGGAACACCGATGACTTGGATAAAGAACACCAAAAAAAAAATTTTTTTTCTTTAGAAATCAGCAATTTTTTTCATAGATGTATATTCAGATAGGTGACGTGAGTAATGTTTGAAAAGGCAAAGAGGCAGAATTTTGTAAGATTCTGACTGAATGTTGAAAATGTGCAAAATTTTGTATAGAATTGCATAAAAACAACAAATGGCGCATATCTAAGCAGAAAGAATACTTAAGATTTCTTTATATCTTACGGATTAATAATTTATGTTATTTCCGTTTAAAAAATATATATCAATCCATGCATCAAAATCTTGTTTGTGTTATGTATCTTTAATAAGTATAATATTCACAAGTCGGCTATCGTCGCCCGATTATGCAGGGGTTTTATTTATCCAAGTCATCGGTGTTCCATGGAAGTAATGTGACTGATCCGTGTCGCCCGATACTCGTAACGGCCGAACATGTTTTTTCAGCCGACGAAGCCAGAAAAATTTGGTCGCCGGACCACCGGTTAAATGTGACTTAGGCATAATATGTTAAATATTCACAAGTCGGCCAATCGTCGCCCGATCATCGAGCTCTGAGCTACAGTTTGACTTAAACCGTCGGCCGAAATTCTGGACACTCTTATTGTCGAACGACGGACGACCGACTTAATAATCTGACCGCCGATGGTCGGACGATGATCGAAAGTTGGTCGACGGATAACTTCAATTGAAGAAATCGGCAACCGACGCAGAAAAAAATTATAACTTGGACCGATGGACACAAAATTGGTCGGCCGACAAAAAAAGGTCAAAGTCAGGCAAGACAACGGCATATGAACTTCCGACTTTCACCCGAAGAATCCCATTTTTGCTTCAAAAACCGTCGGCCGTTGGTCGTTTTTGGAAATGTGACCGGGGTTTAATGTTAAATGTTAACAGATGACACAAACATATTTTTATCAAATTTGAAAATTACAATTTTAGTCCTGTTTAAATAACTAAAATGAACAAGAGGCTCAGGGGCCACATCGCTAACCTGAGCACATCGGCTAGGAAAAAGCACAAATCAGACAAGATCTGAAAAGTTTACTGAGGTGGGAGGGGGGTGCTTGAATTTTAATACTACTTGATATAATAAAGGTTTCTGATAACGGTACTGTCTTGTAACTTAACTTGTTCCTGGCCGTGAGGAAGAATAACAATTTATAATCACAACATAAAATTTAAAATATGAGGTGCATATGAAAATAATACCAAGTATCATACATCTTTAAATCATGTCAGAAAACATCATAAAGCGATGCTTGGATCTAAGTCAGAATATCGCAATATTGTATGTGATTGTAAGAAAAAAATCTATCCTTGAGAAAGAGTTATCCTTCTTCTAAATATTTCTTCATGTGGAGAAAACTGTAATACTAATAAAAATTCTGTATTATGTACTTGAAACATAAAACCAATTTAAAAATTGTCCTTAAAAAGATGCAACTTATGCAATTAATAATGCTTTCGAAATTGGATTTAAATGTCTCATTGTTCATATAATAAAACAATTATGAAGAAATTGGCAAAAGAAAAAAACAAAGTATATTATATTTCATCGACTACTCAGATGTCTGAATTAGAAAACTTTGGTAAAGAAAACTATGATTAGTTTTCATATTCTATATTTTAAAAGTTGTCTCTCTTATCAGATGGTCGGCACCCCTAAAAAATGGATAAAGTATGAAGGTAACATTATCTTATATAGTTAAGGTCAGACGACACGTTCCTAAAATATATGTTTTGTACCTCTTGGTATTATATAAAAAATAATTCAATTTTTTCATTCTCTTCTGATATCTACATTGTTTTCAAAATGTTTTTAAATATAAGTACACCAAAAATTGTGATATAGGCCATTCAGAAGATTACCCATAAGGGTTATATAAGAAATATGACCCTGTGGTATCTTGTCCAAATGCCTGGTAAAGTACCCTAATATTTTTTAAGGAAACTTGTTTAAGTTCCTAGACTTCAATGACAAATTCTTAAGAAAAATTATATATTTTTGAGGAACGTGTCGTCTGACGTTAAAAAAGAGATAAAGCTTCAAAGGAATGTTTCCCTTTCTATCTGCCTCTAACCAAAATGTAACATTATTAGATACATTTAAAGCTGTATAATATCAACTATTACCTTTACTTTCGAGATGTCTTTCATTTTTTCGTAAATCAGAGTTCCAGAATCCCTACAACAATTAAATATTGTTTAAAGACAATAAAATAATAATGAGAATAAATTAATAATTTTGCAAAGAAAAAAAATAATATCAAATGAATGATAAGTACTTTAATGGTATATTGTTCTATATTCTATAAAACTTAATATGAGAGAGAGAGAGAGTTAAATATTAAATTAACATAGATTGTTACCTCCTGTTTTGAAATTGGGTAATGCTTCTGAAATAAATGAAATGAAAAAAGCGCATTTATTATTCAGACTTTCAATAAGTACAGTCACTAAGTATATACTTTAACTTAAAGGGGTATGGACACAGTTTCAACTGAATTTTTAAAACCAGTTTTAATGTTTACAATTCCTACCAAAGTCCTCATGTAATGATTAACAAAAATGTGAACATCATTTGTCGATTAACAAACGAGATACAGAACTTAAGGTTCTCCATAATGAAAACAAGGCTCGTGCCTTGTTTTTGTTTACATATAGAAAATATATTTATAATAAAATGAAATTTAGCAAATCAATAGAAACTGTCGAATCGTATTTGAAATTAACTTCCATATTTAAATTATCTACTTTGAATGAACATATAGTAGTATATTAACCTATGGTAACAAAAACATGACACGGACCTTGTTTACAAAACGAAGGTTTGGAGCTCTAAATCTGTCTTGTATCTCGACAACTGATGTTCAGATTTTTGATGATCATTAGAAAGACCCTAGTTAAATATTTGTAAAAATGTAAAAAATAAATTTTGAAATTTTAGCAGAAACTGTGTCCATGCCCCTTTAAAAGCACTCATAAACACATTTTTCTAACCTGTTCTTTAATGGCTACAATATCAGCAGTTTCAGTTTTCTGATAAACTATGCCATAGATTTCTTTTAGAACATGAACTTGTTTCTGGATCTATATCACAATCATCTGAAAGGGGTCCGCTTTTAGTGAGCATATACAATTGCGTAGTGATGAATATTGATGATTTGTAACAAACTTTCATTTGTATAGACAACTTTTACTTTTATTTTTCTTTTTGCCAGAAAGAAATTTGCCAAATTTAAAAAAGGGAAAATTTTTCAAATTCAATTAACATTCTATTAAGCAGATGACTAAACCCGGAAATTGACTTTGATAAAAAATCTTTTCCTGAAGTCCATGCGGAAGTCTATTTGACCATAACATCTGACTTGGTTAAATAAGACGCAGCTTCGAATCAAAGTACCTTATAGGTTGAATGTAAGCCATTTGTCTAGGTATAATTTATACTATAGCTGCAATAATGTTGCCCTCTTCCTTTTTAGGGTGGGTGGGTGGGTTGGTGGGGGTGGGGTGGGGTAGGAAGGGGTAAGGGGGGCTACAACTCCTTAGGATCTCCTAATTGTGCAGGTGCGGGAGCGTAATTTGTTAATTACATCCTATTTCCTTCTAAAGAAATGGGCCTTCATTATATTTCAATCAACTTTCTGCAGATAGCTCAAAACACTCCATTTAAACGGAAATGTTACACTTCAATGCGCTTCATTGAAATAGCCAATTAAATTTACGGTCTAATTTACATCAAGTAAACAAGTGTTGTGGTAACTCCAGTAAACATAAATTCATAATGTTCATATTTTTTGCAAAACTTCAGTCTCCACACGAAATCCACAGATTCCCATCTATATCTTATACCGACTAGCTGTCACGACCCACACACATTTAAGGGTGTGTCTAAGGGTCTAGCCACAAGAATTTAACGCATCTGTTCACCCCCTGCTTTATATTATAATAAAGCGGTCCTTTTAAGTCCCACTTATGCAAGTGAGCTACAATGCCCGTACCGTACAAACTGCTATCAATAATATGGCGGGACATGACAGGCAAAACCTATTACGCTACAAGGAGAAAGACAACTAGAGCAAAGTTCGTTCCAAAGCAACAGTTTCGACCGGACGTGACGTCAACAAGAGAAAGCAATGAGTTAAGACGCCTCCATGGACTTTAAAATTTAAAAGTTTTCAATTTTGCGTCAAAACCTGCAAAATAAGCTATTTTTGGCCACTTCCGGTTTGACCGGAAGTGATATCAAGAGAGGGAAAATGTGGTTGGTCGCTTATAGTGCCATTGATTAACCAATAACATGTCAAAAAACGCAAAATTTGCATTTTCTGATTACTTCCGTTTCGCCGGAAGTGACGTCATTTGATGAATTAAAACAATTTAGGCATCATTTCCGGCTGACATCAAAGTCACAAGTACAAAACTTTGAAAAATCTCAAATAAACTATTTAATTCTATTTCTTTCGACTCAAGAGAGAAATTCTAATTTTTCGACTACTTCCGGTTTACACCGGAAGTTATTCCAATGGATGCGTTTTGTTGACGATTGTTAATGTGAACATAAGTTTTATTTGCCTTTATCCAAAACGGTTGATTTTTTCAAAAAATCTTGAAATTGAATATCACTTCCTGTGTCAACCGAAAGTGACGGATGCAAAATCAAAAGATGCCATGCATAACTCAAAGAGATGTTTTATCATCCCTGAAAATATCGTGATTCAATCTGGAGTGGTTACCAAGAAGATGCTTGGACAAAAATGCAATTTAAAAAAGGAAAATCGGACAAAAAATGTGACCGGAAGAGATTTTTCAAAAAATTAAAAAAAAAATGGTCTTAAGATATCACAACAATGCATCATTCCTGTAAAAATCTTTGAAATCGGTTCAGTAGTTTCCGAGAAATCACGTGTACTATGAAAAGGGAATAATAGCTAGAGCAAAGCTTGTTGTAAAGCAACGAGTAGGTCTCCCGTCCAGTTTGACCTGAAGTAACTTTCACTTTTTACAAAAAATGAGTAAAAATGCCACAGAAATGGTTGAAATCCTCTAAATCTATGTTAATTAATGCAAAAATAAGCCAGTTTTGTTACTTCCGGTTTGACCGGAAAGATGACGACGGACAGAAAATTACTTTTTTGAGTCCCAGTGACATATGTTACCCAAAAATTTGTCAAGAAGGGCAAAAATATGCATTTTCCCGGAAGTGACGTCGTCGGACGTGTTTTGACGACTCCAATCGATTAAGCTTTACATTTTGAACAACTTTGCTTCTTTGACGTAAATACAAATTCTCAATACTTTTTGAGATATAAAAGAAAAACTTTCGGCCCCTCTAAGCCCTTAACTTTAGGGGCCAGCCCCTTTCTTAAGATATCATTTGAAAGATCATAGAATTCTACACTTCTTTCGTTATACACGCTTTAACAAAATATTTCTAGGTAAAAAGTTACCGTTGAAAAGGTGTCGAAATTTTTTGAAATTCTCGATAGGACTATTTTCGGGTCATAGCGAGCGTTGGCGCTTCGTACTTCCGGTGACAATGATTTACTCAATTCACTTCTCCAAAGGTTGCTCTAACATCACTGAAAATTTCATACTTCTATCTTCAACGATTTTTGAGAACATTGCCGGACAAAGTGACCCTCTGAAAATGACAAAATCGCGAAAATCTCTGAACTGGAAGTGACGGCATCAAAATAAAAAAATGTCTCTAGATTTTTTGATGTTCTATCAGACCTGAAAGTTTCATGAAAATCCATCGAACCGTTTCCGAGAACTTGCGTGCACAAAATCGGTAAGAAAAAAAAATGAGAAAAATAGTGGAAAAGAAACCTGAGAAAAACAATAAGGTCTTCCGCTGAAGACAGTAGACCTTGATAATAATAGGAAACATAAGACAAGAGGCCCAGGGACCACATCGCTCACCTGAGCAATTGGCTAGGAAAAAGCACACATCAGATCAGAACTGAAAGTTTACTGAAGGGGGGGGCTTGAATTTTAACCCCCCAGGGGGTCATGATTTGAACAAACTTGAGTCTACACTACCTGAGGATGATTCCCTATAAATATCACTAAGCATGGCTTTGGAGTACTTGAAAAGAAGATTTCAAAAGGTTTCCTAGAGATTCCTATGTAAAACTTTTATCGTCCATTTGGCCCAACCCTACCACCAGGGGTCATGATTTGAACAAACTTGAATCTACACTACCTTTGGATGATTCCACAGGAGTTTCATCTTTCCTGTCTCAATGGTTCTTGAGAAGAAGATTTTTCCTATATATTCCTATGTAAAGTTTTGATCGGCCATTTTGGCCCCATCCTACCCCCGGGAGTCATGATTTGAAGAAAATTGAATCTACACTACTTGAGGATGATTCCACATGAATTTCATCTTTCCTGGCCCAGTAGTTCTTGAAAAGAAGATTTTTAAAGATTTTTCCTTTATATTCCTATGTAAAACTTTAATCGGCCATTTTGGCCCAACCCTACCACCAGGGGTCATGATTTGAACAAACTTGAATTTACACTACCTGAGGATGATTCCACATGAATTTCATCTTTCCTGGTCCAGTGGTTCTTGAGAAGAAGATTTTTAAAGATTTTTCCTATATATTCCTATGTAGAACTTTGATCGGCCATTTTGGCCTAACCCTAACCCAGGGGTCATGATTTGAACAAACTTGAATCTACACTACCTGAAGATGATTCCACATGAGTTTCATCTTTCCTGGCCCAGTGGTTCTTGAGAAGAAGATTTTTAACGATTTTTCCTATATATTCCTATGTAAAACTTTGATCGGCCATTTTGGCCCAACCCTAACCCCAGGGGTCATGATTTGAACAAACTTGAATTTACACTACCTGAGGAAAATTCCATATGAGTTTCATCTTTCCTGACCCAGTGGTTCTTGAGAAGAAGATTTTTAAAGATTTTTCTTATATACTCCTATGTAGAACTTTGATGGGCCATTTTGGCCCCACCCTACCCAAGGGGGTCATGATTTGAACAAATTTGAATGTACACTATCTGAGGATGATTCCACATGAGTTTCATCTTTCCGGGACTAGTGGTTCTTGAGAAGAAGATTTTTAAATATACCATTAATTTTTCTCTAATTCATAATAATCTCCCCTTGCAAAAGGGCGTGCCCTTCATTTGAACAAACTTGAATCCCCTTTATCCAAGGATACTTTGTAGCAAGTTTGGTTGAAATTGGTCCAGTGGTTCTTGAGAAGAATATGAAAATGTGAAAAGTTTTCAACAACGACAACGACGCCAACTACGACAACAACGCCAACGACGACAACGACAACGACGACAAGGACAGACAACGGACAAATTTTGATCAGAAAAGCTCACTTGAGCCTTTGGCTCAGGTGAGCTAAAAAAC